AAACCATACGCAACAGGAAACTATAAAAAAAAAAAAAAAAACAATCAAAACCACAGAAAAGAACTTGTGGTCAGCACCTCTTGATCTTGTCCTCTATTCATCCAGAGTTACTACCAACCCCTGCCAATCTCTCACCCACCCCTACCTGCCTTCCCTTCCAAGGAAATCATCTACTTGGAGTCTTGGACCTGCATACGAGTTCGCACAATATGCAGTAAGTGACATGCAGTCAGTGACACGTTGTCGTATGACTTAGTTATGTAACTTGTTGGCTTAAGCCATTTCTGAATCATTTCTCTTCAACAAAACAGAGTACGACGTATTATTTACTTTTATTTAAAAACCAAAAAAAAACTTTAAAAAAGTAGGCTACATGCTTCTCTCAATTTCACCTCAAACTACCTACCTACCACTACTTTTCTTTTTTTTTTCTTTTTTTTTTCTTTTTTTTTTTTTCTGGACGAACCAAACGGAAATGATGGCGAATTAGGTCAACTGCTCACCGACGAAATTGATTTCAAAACAAATACGAAAATTTTGATTTCAAAACAAATACGAAATTGATTTCAAAACATTTAAACAAATTCGCGCGAAATTGATTTCAAAACATTTAAACAAATTCGCTCGGAAGAGAGAGCCCCTCTCTAGCCTTGTCCCATGAAGTATCTGCTCTGCTGGGAGGTTAAGAGAACTAACACCCGTGTTTAGTGCGAACCTACCTTCTTCACCCGAATACAACTTACTACAGTCATTATTGCTGTATTTAGACGGAAAGGGACCCCAAATACATACAGCTATAATCACCGTACGTTATATTCGGGTGAAGAAGGGTAGCTCAAATAGCAGCCACCTTAGACGAAAACCTGCTCTTCTTGAACCCATGAATGAAAGTCTGCAAAGAACCAAGGTGAATCCTGGGGCCAAGTCCCACTAGCAGCATCGAGTGTCTCCTGAATCTGGACGTGTTGGTGGAGATGTGCGGTTGACGAAACTCAACGCCATTTCTGCACATCGGCACAAACACGACCAGATTCAGGCGTTGAGGACACTCAACGCTGCCACTGGGACTTGGCCCCCGGCATTACGAAAGAGTCTATGGAAGTTTAGGTCTTGGAAGTTGGAACTTCAAGCACGTGTGCTCACTCAGCTACAAGATCCACGACACAGAAGGAGATATCAGGGGAGCCATCTGAAAAGCACAGAGCCAGAGAGAACGAGGATCGGCAAAATGGCCATCAGCACAAAGCCGAAATCTTTCTGTTTAAGTCTGGGCCCCTCCCATAGGCCACAGGGGGAGTAGAGGGGGTGCTGGTAAGAGTAGACACCCCCTCTACTGCCCCAGTTTCTGATGGCTCTGTTCCACTGGTGGGGAGCTGCACCTGCAGGAAAATCCAGCTTCCCTTGACATTAGACAGCACTTAGTCTTTTTGTTATTTGCAGAGTTATATGGGTCTTCGACCCCGCTGATCTACATTTGCTTTGGTCACCGGAACATGGAACAAGCAACAAGAAACAAGCAACAAGCAACAAGAAACAAGAAAAAAGCAACAAGAAACAAGAAACAAGCAACAAGAAACAAGAACAAGCCCTCATCGGGGGGCTGAGAGCTATAGGCTATAGCCATGGCCCATATACATCCATTTTGGGCTCTCTCTCCTAAGACTTCTCTCCCCTCCCTTGGCCTTATTGTGTCGTAGCTGCCTCTGTTGTGTCTGTGTCTGACGGCAGACTGACACCCATGGAGGCAGTTGAGTGATGCTCTTGCAATATGCCACTCCTATCCTCCAACCCCAAATAGCAGTTGGCAGTTGCTTGCCGTGGTGTCCTCTTCCGCTGATGTCGATCTCCGGTGTGTCCTGCATTGGGATGCCACCAGGATGTTCTTCCGGTGCTGCTGGGTAGAGGGAACGAGGCGGGGCGGGAAGAGGGGGGAGGATG